AATAAATAAAATAAATAGGACTCAATCTTGTGTTTAAATAGCCTGAGAGTGTGAACATGCTCGCTGCAACTCTCTCTCTCTCTTCTCTCACACACGCACACGCACTAAGATTATCTTTGTTCTTGAATTTGTGACCCCAAAACAGTTTTGCAACGTTTTAATTGAAGAAGAATTAACAAAACGAAGCACTGTTATATAATATATATTCTTTCTTGCCGAAAATCTAGAAAAACTGCTTATTGCATTACACTTTTTTCTGTTTCAAGCAATGGGAATAAAAGAAAAACGAAAAGCTTGCTATCCCACTTCAAGAACCTTTGAACTCTCTTTACTTAGTTTCAACTGTGGTTTCTGACAAAAAAGAATGGATTTTTTCAACACAATCAATGGGTATACTGAGAACCTATTTGGGTTCCAAGGTGTAATAACAAATGGGTCCTCATCAAGTTCGTCGTTGATATTGGATAAAGAAAGAGGAGAGCTTGTGAGGGCTATGGTGAAGCCGGGCCAGAAAGAAGTTAATGAAGAGAAGGCATTGATAGCTTTGAGAAACCACAGTGAGGCTGAAAGACGTAGAAGAGAAAGAATTAATGGGCATTTGGCCACTCTCAGGAGCCTAATTCCTGGCACTAATAAGGTAGTTTAAGTGTTTGATTGAATGCAAGTGAGGAAACTTTTAGCTTTATATGCTCTTTTAGTTATTTACTTCCATGAACAAGCTATATATAGATATACTTGGGGCATGTTTGGTGTTGTTAATATTGGAGACGAATCGATAATATAATGATCAAGATTTCAGCTTTTCTCTTCTTCTTCCATTCGTGTTCAATTTTCAAAGCATTGAAATAGGTAGTTTTAGTGTTTGATTCAATGCATGCGAGAAACATTCACCTTTATATGCTCTTGCAGTTATTTACTTGAATGATTGTAGGCATGATCTACAAACACTGCAGATATATATGTTCTTAGTTCTTAGATGTATGTAGATATACTTGGGGCATGTTCGGTGCTATCGGCAAAGGGTTGATATTATAATGAACAAGATTTGAGCTTCTTTTTTTCATTCTTCCATTCATGTACACCTAACAAATCATGTCATTACACCTAACAAGGGTTGATATTATAATGAACAAGATTTAAGCCTTAGATAGTATTTTTTGTTGGGGTATTAAAGTTTGTGTTCTTGAGTTTATTCCCAGGTCAAGGCTTGTTGCTGCTGTAGTAATGATTTGCTGTGATTCTGGTGTACTCATGTATTTTAGCTAAAAGTATTACTGATAAATTATAGGTTTTCTCCATATTCATCAACAAGTGCTTGTTGCTACTATTCACCAAGAAATTTTAAGAGTTAACACCGTTGAAGGAATTATTCTTTCATGAGATTTATGGGGATAAGTAGCTGGTTTCTGACTTAAATGAACAGATTCGAACACTTTTTAAGGTTTTTAACAATTTTAGTTATCACTCCATGAAGATTACAGAAGGAGAGTATTTATTTTTGACTACTACTTTGAAGAAGTTTGTGTAATATGTGTGAGACTATTATGCAAGATGAATATTGAAAGTACAAAAAACAACTGTCTTCTGCAAATTTTTCTATGATGCTTTGTCGATATGTAGCCGATGATGAATAGTAAGAAAAAATTCCTGCAGCTAGCATATGGTAAATGCAATCTTGGAGATGCCATTAATGTGTCTAAGCATTAAAATGATTAAAAGCAACCATGGTGTAGAGGAATTGGGTTGATGGGGGCATCTTTGCGCGCACATTGAATTCATTAATTTTGATTTAGGCTGTACTTCGAGTTTGTTTCATACTCCCGTGTTGGCAGTAACTAAATCACTGATGCTAATAAACTAACCCCGGCATCTAAATGGGATGCATGTTTTTCTGTACTGAATGAGTTTATTTATATGAACAGATGGACAAAGCAGCATTACTGGCTGAAGTTATTAACAAGGTAAAAGAGTTGAGAGGGAATGTCACAGAAGCTACTAGAGGCATACTTGTGCCGACTGACATTGATGAAGTAAGAGTTGAACAAGAAGCAGACCAACATGATGGAGCGTCCATTTCCATCCGGGCATCTTTATGCTGTGATTACAGACACGAGATTCTCTCTGATTTAAGACTTGCACTTGAATCTCTCCCTTTGAAGACAGTGAAGGCCGAGATCGCTACCTTGGGAAGTAGAATGGTGAATGTTTTCGTGGTGACTGGGTGCAACACTGAAAATGTCGAAAATTGTTCAGAAGATTGCCAGCCTCTCATAGATTCTGTTCGTCAGGCTCTGAAATCTGTGCTTGATAAATTTTATGCATCTGAAGAATTCACATCAAGAAACACGGTTTTGAGCAAAAGGAGAAAAGTTTCGTTTTTCAGTCCTACAAATTCATCTTCTTTGGGAGATTTCTGGTGAGGAGTTGATTTCGTGGCCCAAGTCTCTCTATGTTTATGATATAGCAATTTCGACTTCGCTAGCATATGCCTTAGCATACATGTCTTGTATAATAGCAGGGACGTGCATGCCATGTCATATGCTTGCTTTTATGGTTAATAAGTGTAGTACTTCTTGCAAAATAATAAAAATTTATGGTTCTAAATTCTAATATACTTGTATTGAAAATGTACAAGATGTTCATCTAGTTTCCATCCAACATTATGACGGAGTACATAGACTCTTTCTTGATGAAGGTTTGTTAGTGGCAACATGCCCTTTCGTGCCACGAAAGAGGACATGTCCTTAATCTCACGAGTATTGAATCATTTCTAAATTCTAAATGTACAATATGTTCGTCTAGTTTTCATCCAACATTACTATGGAGACTCTTTCTTGATGAAAATTTGTTAGTAGCAACATGCCCTTTCGTGCCATGAAAGAGGACATGTTCTTAATATCACAAGTATTTTTCGAGTCGCAGTCAAGAGTTTTGAAGATTGAGGAACTGAATATGAGTATTATTCAAATGCCAATTTGTGAAATTTCTGTCAAAATCATTGGCCTAATACCTACTCTTTGTAAAATAAATATTAAGAAAAGAAAAATGTAACATTGAAGCATGCATATCAAAGACCTACTATTTTACCAACTCATTTACCAAAGTATTTCTTTATCTTAAATCATTTTAAAACTAAACGTTATTTATATAAAAAGTCAAATGAAAGCATGTGGATACTAGAAAAATGTAAAAAAAATTACCACGTCAATTTTGGAAAGAATTATATTGGGGCGGTATTCAATTTTTTTATGAACTTCGAGAATTATAACTCGCTTATACCATAAATAAGAGAAGGATAATCTTTGGACACGAAAATAAAAAGGAGAAAACGAATTTTTGTGAGAGAAAAAACCTTTTACGGAGTCGAGTCCCTGTTAAGAAATGTGAAATTTTATTTACAGTAATTAAATACAAATTTATTTTATTAGGGAATATGCTAAGAATTAAAGGATTTTAGGTGCCGTTCTCTTTGCCATTTTCAACCTATTTACTATTTTCGATTTTTCAAAACAGTGAAAATGTGCTCTCTCTCCTATTTTCGAAAACGTGTTTTTGAAAACAAAAAACAAATTGTACACAAAACTCAAAAATACCAAAAGGTCATTTTGAGTGTTTTCAAGCCAAATCCACGCAAAAACTGAAAACCCGGGAAACATCATTCTCATTTCCCCCCACTTTCCTCTGCTAAAACGAGTTTTGCAGNAAATCCACGCAAAAACTGAAAACACAAGAAACATCATTCTCATTTCCCATGTTTTCCTCTACCAAAACGAGTCTTGCAGCCCTAAAACGAGTCTTGCAGTCACTTTCCAACCCTCTAAACTCCGTCCAATCTCCTCCAAAACCACCGGATTTACAACCCATTGTGAAGTCCTCAATCCCTTCTTCAATTACCACACAAACAACAACTCAAGCACATAACAAAATCGAACAAAAATCATCCTAAAAAACAGATCTAGCGCAAACTGCTTCTAACTGAATCTCCACCTCCGACGACACCCAAGGTCGCGCACCACCACCGATCAATAGCCCTCACCCAAACAATCATAAACCATGGCCATACTTNGCAAACTTCAATTCATCTTCACCACTCCATTGAATCACCAAGTTTGCCCCAAACGAGTCTTCAGCTGCGTTATACGACCATGGGTAGCATGTCAATTGCATCAATTGATCAAAAAAACAGTTCCAATTGGAAGAGAGAGAGGGGGGACGAAGAGACGGATGAAGAGAGAGAGAGAGAGAGAGATGGGAAGAAAATGTGATTGCAAGAGAACATGTTTTTCAATTTTAGGTTTTACAAAACAATTTTTCAAAATGCCAAAAAGAACACATTTTCAACAATCTCAAAATGGACTCTCAAAACACAAAATTTAAAATGAATTCAAAACTCAAAACACAAAACTGAAACACAAAGAAAACAGCTCCTTAGTTTTTTCATTAAGTCAAGAGATCCGACGATTAAAGATAAATTTCTACTGAATCAGGGATCTCTAGATAAATGTATGTAATGTTATAAACAAACACTGGCATAAAATTATACTTTTAGAAAATATATGTACTTTTTATGTTTGTGCGAAACCCGCAAGAATCATTGATAAGTAATAATTTGATGAGAAAAATATTGTCCCATAGGGTATAAATTTCAAATTAATTTTATTAGTTTTTTTTTTTTATCAAATTCGAATGTTGTAATACAATAGTGGGGATTTTTATTTAATCTAAATTATTATACTACTTGTGTAAATGCTTTGGTTGTATGAATGTGTGAAATGGATGTATTGGACTTGTGAATCCATTTTTTGATGTCTATTTCGTAATTTGGTGTTATTTATGCATTCATGATAATCGATAATCTAATTATATTTAATTATTTCTTCCAAGGTAAGTTAAACATATCCTAAACACGACCAAATATATTCTTATTCCGAATTCACATGCAAGGTAATGTATTAATGAACACGATTATCAATATGATCGCACACGTCCTATATGTTATTCATAATATGAATATCTATCGTCCGTACGTTAACTTTGCAATGTTTTAAACTTGAACATCTTAACATTACAATAAGCAACTAATTATCTAATTGGAGATAAGACAATCAACTAATGCAAAATTTATAAAAAATCAATCAAGAATACAAAAATATTCTAAACTACTTGTCTTTGAATTAAAAAAAATAATCAATGATTTCATCTTCATCCCATACAAGGGAGAAATTAGCCTGAATATGAATTACATAGAATATTGAAAAGACATTACTCGGAAAGTAGAAAAATACAAGAAGCATGATGGACAATCAATATCTTGTTCTTAGTCTTGAATCCCATTCTTTGAAATTCTGAATATTCAATTCTTAATATTATTCAACTGGTGATCTAGTGCTAGACTCATTCTCTATGGTATATTGTGGCATGGTGCGTTTCTTGCCTTAGGAATTAGGTTAAATAGCGGTCAAAATTTGATTCCATAAAGAGTTGGAATTAGGTTAAATAGCGGTCAAAATTTGATTCCATAAAGAGTTGTGATCATATAAGGAAATTGGCTTGGGTGCCCATTTTTTGACCCAAGGGTATGAGTCCGGCTCACGTAATGATGGTGTTGGGAGGAGTTAAAATCGATTAGCCCAAAACGACAACAAATCTGTATGCTAAATTCAGAAACTATAATTGAAAATTATAACTCAAGTAAACAGAAATTTGTACTCAAGAAATAACAAAGAAAAACAATACAATAAACTGTAAAGAAACTCGAAACCAAGATGAACAAAAAATAACCACACTTATCTTCTTATTAAGCCCA